CTTATCTTTTGCAAGAGGCAGTGATGGTGAATGGTTCTGAAAGCGTGGTTCCAGGATCGCGGGTGATTGCAGCATCTGCATCACTGGGAACCAGATGGAAGGGCAGATTCTAGGTCCGCACCCCAGCCCTGCTGAATCCCAGACTCTCAGTGCGGAGCCTGGCAATCTGTGTTTTCACCAGCGCCCTGGAGGATGCTGATGAAAACTGAACTGGCCGGCCTCTGGTCTAGCGGACTGGGAACAGTAGGCGTCTAAACCCTAACCCCTGGCCTCCACCGCAGTCACTGAGTGTGGACAAGTTGCTGAAGCTCACCAAGCCTGTTTCTCTGGATCTGTGAGAGTGGGCGTCATGACTTCCCTTTGGATAGTGTCATGAGAATGACAGTTGAGAACGCAGGTGGAAGCCCTCGGCAAATACCTAGAAGGCAGGTATTTCTTTATTGAGACACAATCACCATCCATTCTAATACAGCACACAAAGATGTTCTGTAGAGCCAAAGATATTCTATGGATGTGTGTATGTGATGGGCTGCTCGCTTCACCAGGTGGCCAATTTCTCAAAGACATGTGTTGTTTCTTGTTTAGAAAGCAGCTCACAACAATTCTGAAAACATTCCCCTCCACAAGTCACGACCGCAGACGGAGCCGTGGTCTCCAGGCTCCAGCGGCCACAGGGACTGCAAGAGGCAGAAACTCGTCTTCGATGATATGTAAGTTCAGACTTTTTCAATATGGTGAGGGGCAAGACGGAACAGAAGCTGCTCAGGTGGAAGGGGCGTGGACACCTTGGTGTGGCCACCTTCAGCAACAGTGTGACCTTTTTTTCCCCCTGGGACTTGGTCATTTAAATGTCCCTCTTGAAGGGAATTGGAGCCTTAATTTTGAGTGCATGCCTGAGTCCTGGTGGGGTTTTGGGTAGACAGAATAATCAGTGCTAACGGGGCTGGACATCAGAAAACAAAGGCGAATAGCATTCATGAGTCTTAGACTTCTCAGCACCTGTACTGTGGGTTGTCGGCGGTTTTACGCTGCTAGAAAGAGAAGCATCGTTGTTTTTGTAAATTATAATAGGCAATGAATAATAGTGATTTACTCCTGAAAGCTCTTTTCCTCCAACTGCTATATTCTTTATAATAGCATAAATGATTCTTCTATAGGAAAACAAAATGCCATCATCGTTCACCCAATTCTAGCACTTTCAGTCTCACCCAAGTATAACTTCCATTCCCAGCATCATTTTAAAAGGAGGAAAAACAAGAGGAGAAGATGAATAAAAATAACATCCTGGAGTGCTCTCGAGAGGCTGAAAATGACAAATGAGAAGTGATCAAATGATGCTGAAAATTATTTCGGCTCTTAGGGAAAATGTATGTGTCAAGGACAAGCCTGGAAGGCAGAAGATACTCAGTGTGAATCCTCTTTTCAGGTTTAGTGGTCCTACGGACGTCAAATACGTGGCTGGGTGAGGCAGGAAAAATTCGGCCCCAGGGTGGAGCAGCTGCAGAAATAGGCTCTCCTGCCCTCTGAGGGCTTCTAGTCTAGCTGAGGAGACAGACTGCAAACCACTAACCCCACTGGATGTTGGAAAATAAAATGGTTCTACGTGTCTGAGAGTCCCAATGACAAATGCCACGGCTCCCTCCACGGGGCATCTCCTAAGGGGTATCACGTGGAGCAGAGAAAGCACCATGCAGGGGTGGCTACTCCAGCCTCGTCGTCCGCCCCGGTCCTCCATCCATAACTGCCATCCGGAGTCTTGGCATGATCTATTCACCTCTGTACGCTTCCTTGGGAAATTTAAAATACTAAGTTGTAGTCTTCAAGTACTGCGTGGACTCCCGTAAGCTAATGAGGGTACAGAGTTTTGGGGTTGAAAGCCAAGTCCACATTCGTTGTTTGTTTTGTTAAATGAACACATTCCAAGGCAACTGGGTTTGGGAAAGCTTGAGGGCAGCCCAGGAAGGCATGTGTGTTTCCTCTCTTCCTGTGGTGGCAGCTGCGTCCCACCCACACTCCTGGCCCTCACCACCCCCTTCCTCTCACTGTCTACATCGCCTTTGCCAAGCAGCCAGGGAGGTAGGTGGTGATTAATCCCCAGGGAGGGCATGGAGTGGGAGTACAGTCAGGTGGCAAACTACATTTATAATTAAGGTTCAGGACATAAATTGTTCATGTGAACTTCAGCCATTTGTAAAAAGAAGAGATTAGAATTGTGTATAAGGATAATGTAGAAATCTGCATTTGGAAGTCATAACCCAACAACATGATCAAACAGAAGGAGCATTAGACCCTGAGGTACTCACACCACCGCATACTTACAGTGGATGGTTTTGAGAGCATGGTATATACACACAAAATACAAATACATATGTCATATTAAAATGCAAGGAATTTTCCAGTGTATGAACCAGAAAGCTAGGTCAGAAACAGCAACAACTAAATGATTGCACTTTGATCTACAGGTACTTGGACTTTTTTTTTTTGAGACAGGCTTGCCCTGTCACCCAGGCTAGAGTGCAGTGGTATGAGCATGGCTCAGTGCAGCCTCAAAGTCCTGGGCTCATGCTATCTTCCTGCCTCAGCCTCCTGAGTAGCC